GCCGCCGCCGCCGCCGCCGCCGCCGAAGCCGCTTTCTCTGTCTCGCTCGCTTCCCCCGCCCCCCGACCACACCCCCTTAAAGGGCCAGTCCCTCCGCAGGCCCCTCACTCCCACCCCGCCCCCGGGCAGGGGATAGGGGAGGGTCTAGTCGTCAGGGGTTTGGGCCTGGCTGTTTGATACCCCTTTTAACCTTTCTGCCTCAACCCAGGCGTTCTAGGCGCCCAGTACCGGGATTTGGGCTCCTGCCGGGATCCTAGTGTTCTGTCCTCACTGATGCAAAAACAGGGGTCATCTGGGAATGGAGGGGAGTGGGCAGTATATGTGCAGGACGAGGGTCTGGAGAGGAGACTTGGGAGCCCCTCAGGTCTGGGTCCTCCGGTCCTTGGCCAGAGGAGGGCAAGCAGCCTCCTCCGCGTAGACCGACACGTGGACCAGGCTCCCAAGGGTGGAGGGGTGGAGAAAGGGGACAGGAGCTGCCCAGGTCCCCGGACGCCCTACTCGGCGAGGACACGCAACCCCCACGGCGGAGGCCCAGGGTAGGGGCGAGCGGAACCGGCTCAACGGCCCGAGGGGCTAAACCCTAGGCTGCCACCGCCCCCCGGCCAAGATGGCGGCGGGGAACGGAATTATGGGAAACGTAGTTCTCGGAGTCTGGCCGGGCCTGGCCGCCCCTCCCTCTCAGCGGAGCCAGGGCGGGGAAGCGCAGAACTTGTTTGGGGCGCCCTCGTTCGGCTGGCTTCGACAGGGCGCGGCCAGCCGCGCCTCCACCCGCCCCCCCACTCCCCGCAACCTCTATGTGTACAAAGAGGGAACTCAGAAGTAAAGAGCTGGGAAATGAGGGAGACGGTACCCCCGATAATAAAAATGGTAATAACAGCTGACCCATAAAAAGCGTTCCTCGGGTCGGTTCCACACAGTCGGCTCCAGCTTGAGGCCACCTCATTCACTCTCCCACAGATCGTTGCCCTGCAGCGCCTTCTGTCCTTCAGCATTCACAGGCGCCTTACCTGGCCCACCTCTCTCTGACAGACCGTGTTTCTCATTTCGGCACCCCGTGAGATCTTCCGTATCTCTGAATGGTCTCTCTCATTCATGGGATCTCTGTCTCTCCCTTCTAGACTGTGTGCTCCGTGGGGCCCTTGTTTACTGCTGATGCCCAACGTGCAGTGACCGGCTGGGCTTCAGACCCGCGTGTATGGAGCAGATGACCCGATTCTTGCTGAACTCCCAGCACCAGTGTCAGACTTGTAACTGTTGACTGAACACGTGACTGAATGAAAGACTGAATGGCTTTCTCTGTGCCTAGCATTTCCTCAGAAGCTCATGGCCAAGATTCAGTGAGAAAATACGTGGAAGGGTCAATGACAGTACCACAGAGGTCAGCTTGTGAACCCAGACCCCCTGACACAAAGTCTCTACTCACCCCCCCCATCCGCCCCTAGAAAGCACCCAACAAGGGCGTCTAGCCCCTCAGAGATGCTTCCACGGACGGCAGGCTCGCCCTCCGCAGTCCCAGGCTGAGTTTCAGCATCTGAGGGGCAGCGAGCCGTTCTGCCCCAGTCTCTCACAGACACCTTCTCTCTGGATGTCAGAGAAACCCACTGCAGCAGGCACGGTTCAGAGACAGGCTGAGACCAGCCCAAGGTCACACAGCGGGTGCTGTGGCCAAACTCAAACCCAGCACTTTGAGCTTACCCTGTAGCTGGGAGAAAGAGACAACGAATGCAGAGGCTGGGAATGGTATGTGTTGCAGGACCAGCAAGGTGGGCTTCTCCCTGAGGGGCCTGGGTTGGGGGCAGGCTCTCAGGGTGCATCTCATGCCTCCTCCCTTCCCACCCTTCTCTTGGTCTTATCCTCCTGTCAGCCAGCCTGGGGAGCTGGTGGAGGGCTGACCCTTGCTCTTGCAGAAAAGGCAGGACCCATTCTTTCCACCAGGAGCCCCATCCCTGGCCTGGCCCCTGGCTCCCAGCCTGGCCTGTGGGAAGAGCAGTTTACCCGAGTCCAAATTCCCTACCACACCCCCCCTCACCCCACCAGGGCATGTCTGCTCTCTTAACCACAGCGTTGATTCAGGCCTTAGGGGTGCTCATAGTTAAGAGGGGAGATATATACACCATAGCTTGCTGTGGGAATGGAGCCTACAGGCCATAAAGATCCAGGTCCCAGCCCTCGATGCTGTGAGCCCAAGTGACGGCGTTCCTATCCCTCCTGCACTGAGGGCTAGTGTGAAGGCCTCCTGTCATGTCCAAATTTTGGGGTACTCCTGGGGGTTCTCTGGACAGGGTGGGGAAGAGCTGGGGATCCTCTTCCTGACACTCCCACTTTCCATCCCCACTGCTTCTGCTTGTTCGGTCCCTTGCCATGGCCACCCACCCTGAGAGCATAATCATGCTGGCCTGCAGCCTTGTGGGAGGCTGGGCTGCCCTGCACAGACCCTCAGAGTGGAAGAACTGGGTTCAAATCCTCCCTCTGCCCAGCACGTTGGGAGGCCGTGAGCAAGTCGCTTACCTGCTCTGAGCCTCTTCCAGGGAGCTGATTCTACCAAGCTCCGGTGGCTAGGGGCGGAGAGCTTGGTGCTGAGGGCCTACATCCCAGCCCTTGCTCTCCTGCCTAAACCCTCCTGGGACTGGAGTATGCGGCCGCCACCGCTCCTCATCTTGCAGGCCTCAGACTGTGGCTCCCCAGCTCCACCCCACCTGAGGTCCCAGCCCCCTCTCCACCAGAGTGCAGCTAAGGCTGCTTTCAGCACCTCTTTGAAGCAGAGGCCCTGGAGTGGGAGGGTCCCGTGGGCCAAGACCACTCCCTTAATCGAGGGTAGAGGTGGAAAGGCTGCCTTCCTTCCACCATTACTGCTTGTCAAGAAACCCTATCACCATTATCAAGCCTGGAAGAAAGTGTCCGAGGAGGAAGGAGCCCTTTAATAGGGGCTACCCTGGCCTTGGGGGGGGGCAGGGAGAGGCTCAGGCTCAGGAAACAGGCTCCCATCCTGTTTGCCAAGGAGCTGCTGCCCAGCATATCTCTGAAGTATCCCTGTCCAAGGCCTAGAACCCTGGCTCTGGCCTGCTAGCCCTGGCATTGGCTGGCAGGCCCTCTGCCCCAGAGCGGATCTGTGCCCTTTCCTCTTCCTCCCTGATGCCTCCCAGGCTGCTAGCCACTCATCATATGTCCAGCTGCCTGCAGCTAGGGGTCATCTTGTACCCATTTGCTTCTTTCATGCCCCCGCAATCTCCAGCTTCTGGACAAGGTGACTGAGGCACGGAGGGGCTGGGTTCTGCTGTAGACTTGAACCCATGCCTGGGGGAGCAGAGGCCGCCACTCTACACCCTGCATGGCTCTGCCCAGTGAGACCCGGTGGTCTCTGGATCTCTCAAGGGTATGGCTCTGCTCTTCTTTTGAGAGAGGATGAGGGGATCACACGTTCTGCCCCCCTTTCTCTGTCTCCTCAAGGGCAAGGAGGGGAGGCAGGATGAGCCAGCCTTCAAGTCAGAGGGCTAAAATCCTCCTACAAAGTTGCGTGACCTTGGGCAAGTCCCTTCCCCTCTCTGGGCCTCAAGTGTAAATAGGAATCCCACCCCACAGGGTCTCTGCCAAAGGCAAGGAGATTCCTTAGGTTAGAGTTGGTGTCCCACAAGGTGGGGATTTTGAGGATGGCCGGTGCCAGGCAGGGCCTCCCCTTAGGGGTCTGAGAGCCTGGGGCGAAGGGGCCTGCAGGGCCCGCTCCTCCTTGGCTGACCCCTCCTCCCCCAGAACCAGCTCTAGTCTCTTTCTGGGTTTCTAGGTGACTTGGCTGGCCCCTCTGGATGAGTTCTACTTTAAACCTACTGCTGCTACTGCCTCTGTATTGGGGGGGCTCCCACAGGGGCCCCCAGGCAGGAGCCCTCCCCCCCAGCCAAGCCCTGCGGGAGGGGCTGCAGCCCCCACCTATCCCAGTGCCCATGCGCCTTCCCCCTCCCATCCCTGGAGCGCCGATTTCAGGGCACCTGCTGTAGGCCAGGCACCGCAGAGCCCCTCCTCAACCCCCCTTGTCCGTGGACACCCGCGAGGCTTCTGAACCCTCTGGGCGAACGAGCAGAGCAGTTGTCTCCGTCGCAGGGTTCAGTAGGAGGCCCCACAGGGACAGGGTCCAGGTTCAGTCATGGGGGTCTACAGAACAAGAAGGGGGCTGTTCTAGGGCTTACTCTGGAAGGCCAGGATGCTTAGGTCCTTAAAGGAGGCAGCAGGCGCCCGGCCTCCCCGGGCTAGGGACGGGGGAGGGGCGCCTGCCGGCAGGAGGCCCATTAGCTGGCTAAGTGCTCCCAGGGAGGGGGGGGGAGGGAACCGAGCTGCGGCAGGAGGGGGTGAGGCGAAGTGAGGGCAGAGGGGGGGGGGGGGGAGTGGCTTTTCCTGCACTCAGCTCAGTGTGCTGGAGTGTGGTGGGGACAAGGCTCTGCGCCCCCGGCCCTAGCCTGGCCCTCCGGTAGTACCCTCGCCCCCGCCCCTCCGAAACCTAAGCCGGCTGACCCCCTCCCAGTCTTCAGCAACGCCCTCTACACCCAGTCCCTCTGGCTGCACCCTAACAATCACCCTGGCCCCAAGCTCTGTTCTCCAACCCCAGGCAAGTCCGGATGAGCACCCCCAGCAAAGCGCCGGGGTCCCTGTTATGCCCCTGCCCCATCCCCCCCTCGGGCTGCAGTCGCCGCCCCGGCCGCCAGGGGGAGCCGCCGACACGGGGCGGGCGGGTCCGACGCGGGTGGGAGGGGGCG